CTGCTGTGAATTAAAGGAGAGTTAGGGAATTAATAACTGCTGAAAATAGGTTTATTTCCCCCCTCATTCTTTGAATTGTTGATGGAATAAGATGTGTTGTTGTGGGATCAGTATTCATTTGAACAACATCCAATTCCAATTATGTATGCCTTCGTTGCAGGTGAGATTGAAATGGGAAGATATCCAGCTGTGACCAGAAATGTATTTTCCAGAGTATAGATTGCACACAAATTTGTGAATGAAGAGGACCCATCTGTATCTCCTTTAAATTATTCAGTTCTCTGCTTTATTTCCCCGTGCTGAGGATTTAATTGTTGAGTTGTACATTACTGTATTTTAACTTGTTGCTTAGTTTCTTACACATTTATTTTCAGTACCTGGCTGAAAGTGTTACCTATTCCATATTTTAGCACAATGTGCTGCAAACAAACAGTTGCCATAGTGCAAATGAGGTCTCGTGTACAGAGTTCCACATTAGGTTGTCAAAAATACTGCCTGAGTTTAGTAATTCTTTCAATCTGAAATGCATTCTTTTAGATGTTTGAAAAACACCAATAAACAGTTATTGAACCTTTTTGGATTTACCTCATTTAAACTCAGTTTTTATTTATTACTTGGCCTGTTTTTAATATCAGTGACCTAAAAAAAAAAAGTCAAGTGGGAGCACTGTTTTCACGCAATGCTTAGGGATTATTTGTATATTATGTGTACAACGTTGACTTGTTTAAAGAAACAAAGAATGAACCCTGTCCCTTCCATCCCAGCCTAAATCTGTGCTCGGTTGTCCCTTGCCACACCTTTTGTTTGTTATGTTGTTTTTAGATCGATTGGAAATGCTCTCTTCAAAACTGAAATAAATTAAGTTACAATTACAGCTACAGGAGCTTTGTATTGCTGAACTTTAGTCTGAAAAGTTTCACAATGACATTTTTAAAAAAAGAAAAAAAATAATTTTTTTATCTGCTGAATTCTACCAGTGTAACCTTTTTTCTAAATAAACAATAGTTTTCTCAATGGGTCGTAAATCATTCTGTGTCTGTGGTCACTTTATTCCTTTCTGTATTGTCACGACAATTTGTTACTAGTTGGAATGGTGGGAGGGTGTTGTCTGTCTTTGCTGATGAACCCTGTGTACCTACAAGGTCTTTAGCTGCAAGGGGCTAGTTACAGTGCTGCAAGGTTACATTGCTGCTGCAAAGTGACTGATGTGTCATACTTCTCCAGTGGCTTCAAGAAGCTCAGGGTTTGCTTTCCTCCATTCAGTCAAGCTTACATCTTTCTCTTGAGGCATTTGTCTCTCATCCAAAGCTCATTGAATCTCTGGCACTTTCTTCCCTTAATTTCCTAATTTAGTAAAATTAGCCTGAATTAAGAGTGCCTTAAAAATGTGTTTATTTATTTTGACCAGTTTAATGCCTGACAAGAAGGGGACTGCCTTCTGATATAGCAGGGTAGGTCACTTTGGTGAAGCAGCCATCCCAGATGTTCACTTGGGTAAGAAATCTCCAAGATCTAGAAGTCTTAGGTAATGTTCATTACTGATTTCCACCCCTATGCCCTCAAAGATGTGGATTTCCTTCAGGAAAAATATTCCACTCATTTGTTTAAACTAGAATATGTGGGTTGTGAAAGAAATACTTGTTTGTGTTCTTTAGAGAAGGGGAGATTCCAATGTCTAGAGACTCTGCTCACTAGGTAATGATTAAAAAGATGTAGTGGAAGCTGAAGTTCCTTGGCCTGGGTACAGCAGTTGAAATACAGAATGAATGTGCACCAAAATGGAGGAGCTGCTGTTACAGCTTGATTCGTGATAAGTTTTGAAGCTGGTGCATGTCATCTGCTCCTCTCTGCTGCCGTTTCTTGCTCCAGGGACTGCAGGACTGAGAAAATTTGAGTGTGCTCCTTTGTTTGCCCAGTCTTGTGAGGCAGACAGCTTTCTGTAAACACCAGCTATGTCCTCTGCAGGCAGCCACTATGATAGGAGAGGTAGTGACTTGAAGGGGGAGTGAGAACTTCCTCTTTTGGTACCATTTGCACATCAAATCAGATAGATTGTAATACCAGACTGCACCAAGTAGGTAGTTCCTTTTCAGCCTTTGTGTTTCCTTTTTCTTTTGTCTCCTTTTTAAATTCAAATTCTGCCCCTCATCCCTTTGGTAAGGATCTGCTTTCTTTTCAAAATGGATGCAATAAAACTGCACTGGGGTGTGGAGAAGAGGATCTGATGCCAGTGGGAGGTGTTTCACAAGACCGAAATATTAGCAGAAGTAAAACCTCACAGCCTTGGTCCTCGTGCCACTTCAGAAGATGGTGAACAGCAGCAGCGAGAGCTGTGACAGCTGCTGCCCAACGGCTGGAGTCTTCTCTCTCTTTTTAAAAGTACATCAAATACAATGTTAATGATAGTCCCTTTAGTTGGAATAATTATACTGGTTTGGTTTGTTAGGTGCAGTTTTTGGTAGCGAGGAAAGGGCTCCAGGGTGGCTTAAGTAAGAGGCTTCACCTGCTCCAAAGCCCGCTAAAGAGCCATTAGAGGGACAATAGATGCGCCCCAGCAATTAGCACAGGAAAGAACGGCTACAACACCTGAGCAGAAGAGCGCTTGAACGAGAACAGCTGTGCTGAGCAGCAGAGCCGCCGGAGGTCGGTGAGGAAGAAGGTGAATTTTCCTTGCGACCCGTGGCGAGGTGAGGGCTGTGCCCATCGCTCATGGAGGAACGTGGTGGAACATTCCCTGGAGGCGCCAGCACGGCTGAGCTTGGCCAGCGGATTTGGATTTTGTGGCCAGTGGACTCTGATTACGCAGCTGTGGAATCCCCCGGGGCAGGGGAGGTGGCTGTTCCCTGAGCAGCCCGTGGCTCTGGGAAGCCCAGGCTGGAGCAGCTCCGGGCCTGGTGGGAAGGACTCATGGAGGTACGTGGAGGGCTCTCCCGTGGGAGGCATCCCATGGGGAAGCAGGGGAGGACTGTAAGGAATCCTTCCTGAGGAGGAAGGAGCAGCAGGAACCGCCAGCCTGTGAACTGACTCTAAACCCCATCCCCTGTCCCCCTGTGGGGAAGGAGGGAGAGAAACCGGGAACAAAGTGACTTGGGGCCGGGAAGGAGGAAGGGGTGGGGGTAACATGTGTAAACCCTGCTCTCTGTGTTGTATTATGTCCTGTGTGCCCTTGATTAGTGTTATTATTTTTCCCCAAGTTGAGTCTGTTTTGCCTGGGACCTTAATCGCTTTGTCCTCCTCCTCCCAGAGCGTGTGTGTGTGGGAGCTGAGCAAGCAGCCCTGTGGTTGTGCTTGGTTGTCGTGTTGTCCCAAACCACGTTATTGGCGAGCCAGGCAAGGAACCACGACAGTAATTATTTTAAAAGAGTAAGTCAATGCAACTTAAAGATCCTGGAGAACGTGTGGAATCTAAGGAACCTGAAAAATTGAAGTATTGTTAAGTGGTGATCTTGATAACAAAGATCGGGGTTTCTTGTACGTTCAACTTCTCCCAGTCCCTGTAATACTGGAATTATTACATAAAGGAGTGTGTTCTCTTTGTTGCCATCTCTAATGGTAAACGGTGATGGTAGTTTTCGTGGTTGACATTTTTGGATTGACAAGCAGAAAATTCATTCTGCCTGCTGGACTGCTGGGGGTTGTATTGCTGCCATCAGCCTGCCGTGCTGCTCTGCTTTCACTGGTGCTCGTTAGTTGAATTGATACAAATCAACTTTATGTGGGGAGATTGGTCCATATTGAACAGGCTTGGGAAATGGCGTTTGCTTAGGGGGAAGTTCGTGAAATACAGCTCTGTCAGAGCAAACTAATTTTTAATGATTGTTCTGAGAAACATGCTTAGATTTACATGCTCAGTCTAGCGTTTACGTGGAAAAACAGGTATGAGGAGCTTGAATTTCTGAGGGTCTTTTCATTGTCGAGGAACTACCTTTGGGGACAAGAGTCTGTACATCATCAGCAGACCAGGGTGAGGTGGGCAGTGTGGTTTGGCTATTGGGGCAGCGTTTCTGTGGAGCTTTGATTGGTTTAGAATTTGCCTATCGTGACTATTTTAAAATAGTAAAAAATATAAGGAACGTTCTGTGCTGAACTGATAGTGTGTTTAACAGTACTGAGCCTAACGAAGCTTCATCATGAATTAGTTGCTTTAATTGGTGTTTAGAACAACTGATGGTTCACAAAATATGCGACAATGGGGAAAATATTAAGCCAACAACCTTTTAAATAACTGCAAAATAGCCGGTTTTTGGCTCCTTTTAGAATTTTGTTTTGCTTTAAAAAAAAAACATGTTTAATGTGCTTTTGTGTGTGCCTGGGCCTTGTCAGAGGTAATGGAGATCTGAGCTAGTGCCATGCCTGGGGGCATCATACTCCTGACGCTGTTGGAGATGATGGGGCTGAGAGATGATAGAGCACATGCCTGCTTAAAATTACTGCCTTGTAAGGAGCTGTAACGTGACAGATTTTTAATTGCAGGAGATGATCTTTGCCTACAGGTTCTGTCCACAAAGCAAATTAATTTGTTTTATTCCCAGGAGTTCTCAGAAATAGATTTTTTGGTATGGATTTAATATTAACAAAAGCAAACCTATAGCTAATAGTGTATTTGCTGACTGTAATGATAAAAAAGCAACCTTTCTGTATCAAGTATTAGTACTATTAAAACAGAGGCTTACTTGTCTTTTAATTATTGTGGGGTTTTGGTTTGTTTGTTTGCTTTTCAACTCCAGAGAAAAGAAACTTGAACCAAAATTGAGCCTCCCTGGTGTGCTGTGAGGTTCAGTTTGTGTCTTCAGTAATCTGGGATTTGGGACAGAGGTGTGTAGTCTTGGTGGCTGTGTTTTAAAGTACTGAGTATTGTAGTGCTTGGTCAGTAAACTTCAGATTAGCTTTGTCCTTATTAATTAGAGGTTATTTCTGAATGAATTGGAGAAGATCACAGACCCTTGTCCTGCAGTGCAGGAAAGACATAGACAAATTGGCAAGGGAATCGGATAGGAATTACCCAGCTAATTAGAGGTGAGGAGGAATTACTAAAAAGGAAAGTAACCAAGTTAAATACTTAGATGCTTTTAATTAACTCATTAAGGGCCGTCTAAAATGAAATACTTCCATCAAAGTCACTCTAGTCCTTGGGATTTACTGGAGGGTGAACGAGATGAGGCCTTGGCAGGTTGACTGTGCACTGGGCTGTCACACCAGGCCAGGTTAAGCTGAGGAGCAAGGCCACCCTGAGGTCTCTGCAGCACCAGCTCCAAACAAAATTTATCTGTCAGCCCAGACACTTAGAGGTGAATTAAAACAATCATTTAAAATTCAGCTTTGTGAAATTGCTGGTACATCCCTTGCCAGAGATGCCAGCTGAGATGGCAGAAGCAGCGCGGCCCAGGCCCTGTGAGCAGCAGGGGGAGAGGAGCAGGGACACGGGATGCTCACACTGATCCTGTCATTGGTGTGTCAAGTACAGAGACACACCAGCAGCAAACTGTAGCAGCCAGGACACTGCTGAACTTTGTGAAAGCACATGCTGTTGCGGGAGTAACTCGGGTGCACTCTGCAATGTCTTGATTTCCTGAAAGGGGCCATAGGAATGGTCTCTTGCCATGTTAATGCTTATAGGAGGATTTTTCTCCCCCAGAAAAACTTTCCAAATGAAAGCTGGTCCTTCTCCCTTGAGTGGGTCTCTACAGAGACTCAGCTCTGTGTGTGTAGACACCAGTGAGGGTTTAGAGGTGCTTGGCAATGGAAGTAGTATATGGAGCACAGCTTATGGTGTGTGTCGAGGGGGATGCCAGAGACCTTGAGTGGAAATAGAGGGTCAGTGAGTCCTGGAGGGCTGGGGAAAGTGTTGAATTATGGCAACTATGTTTCCAGAGCTGTCCAGGTTTCATGGACTAAATTTGAGAGGTTTGTGGGGAAGAACAGACAGGGCCAAACTGATGGACAGGAGGCCAGATGAGGCAGCGCACCTACAATGGTCCTGGCTTACCAGGGGCAAATCTGGTACAAAGCACCCATTAATCAAGCC